TATTGTGGTTCAAATTGGGAGGATATATTTAAGATGAAATTTTTGTAATGAGGAGACAAAGATTTATAAGACAAGTGTTTGGATAAGGGGTGTGCAGGTCGACATGAAGAAGGTATAGACTGAGAGGAATTCTGACCCAAGAGATTGCAATGAAATTCTTGCAGGTAGGAAGGAGGTCTAGGATTTCTAGATGATCTTCTCATAGTAGTATTATGTGGGATGATATTAGAATGATCAGAAGTTAACGAATTTTCTGGAATAGATGATGATGGATCAGCAGCTGGGATTTCAACATTTTGATTATGTGACACGATATTAGGCAGATCAGCTAGTGATGTTTCATCATCATTATGAGGAGTATCAGGAGTATCAATAACCCTGATATGATGATTAGAGGGCACAGAACGAGTGATTGATGAAATTTCAAAAGAAGAACTTGGCAAGATAAGATCAGGAAAACGATCAATGAGTTGATTTGAAGAAGTAATAGAATGAAATGGGAAGATCTCCTCATAAAATAAGACATCTCTGGATGTGATTATTTGCTTGGATTTGATATCATAGAGTCTATAGCCTTTTATTCCTGGTGGATAACCAAGGAACACACACACTCCAGACCTTGGCTGGAACTTTGTTCTATGTGCATGGAGGGTTGATGCAAAAGTCAGACACCCAAAGACTCTGAAGGTAGAATAGTCTGTTGGAAGATTATGCAGAATTTCATAAGGGGTTTTGTGTTTGAGTAAAGTAGAGGGTGTTCTATTGATCAGAAAAGCTGCAATCAGGATGCATTCATTCCAGAAATGAATTGGAACTCTGGATTCGAAGAAAAGTGCTCTAGTAACATTGAGGAAATGCTGATGTTTCCTCTCGACGACTGAATTTTGCTGTGGTGTTTCAACGCATGAAAACTGATGCAGCACACCTCTTTCATTAAAGAATTCAGGAAACCTCAACTCTGGGGAATTATCAGATCTGAAGACTTTTATATTTTTGTTGAATTGAGTAGAAACCATTTTAAAGAATTTAGGAATCACAGTCTTGACATCAGACTTTTTCTTCAACATATAAATCCATGTAAATCGTGAGCAATCATCCACAGTGTGAGAAAATAATTGTGGCCATTATGTGATGAAACATGGTAAGGACCCCACACATCACAGTGTACCAAGTCAAAAGAAAACTGAGACATATGGTCGTGAGAATCAAAAGATAAACGTCTTTGTTTTGCAAGAGGGCAAATATAACAAGGTTCAGCTTTATTCAATTTCGATACATCACAGTTCAAACAATATTTCAAAGCATCTAAACGTCTGAACGATGGATGACCAAGCATCTAAACGTTTGAACTATGCCATATGTGAGCTGAAATGGTATTTACATATGTTGTAGAACCAGAATCCAGATTGCCTTTGTCTAAAACATAAAGTTCTTCAACCTTATCACCCTTGCCAATCATCTTTTTGATGATGTGTTCCTGAATGGTGAAGCAAGTAGGAAGAAAGCTAATTATGAGATTTGATTCAAAGGTTAGTGCACTGACAGATATCAAGTTAAACTTGAATTGGGGAACAAACAGAGCATCCTTGAGTATAATCTTAGAATTCAGTCTTATATCGCCACAAAAGTGTACAGGAATTTGATTATGATTTGGTGATGTAACTCTGGAATTTTGAATAGGCTTTAGTGAGAAGAAGGCATTAGCAGATGAGCAAATATGTCTTGTTGCACCAGAATCAACTATCCTATATTGGGTAGATGAAAAGACAGGATTCAATGAAATGGAGAAGCAGATACCTGTAGTGTAGGAAGTGGATGGATCATCAGTAGTTTTATCAGAAGTAGTCAGATGATTGGATAGCATAGACATGAGTTGTTGATATTGATAGGAGTTGAGATTTTGAACAAAATTCCCAATGTCAGTTTGTTGTTCAACCTGGTTTGAGACTTGATTTACCCCAACTTTGTTGTTGTTATAGGATAAACTTTCATTGTTCCTTACTTTGTAACAGGGAGGATAGCCATGAATTTTGTAACACTTATCAATGGTATGCCCATGGAAGTTGCAATGAGTGCAGAAAGGTCATTCTCTCTTCTGACCTTTGTATCCTCCAGTGTTGTGATTATTTCTAGGATCCCCAGCATTACTATAGTAACCATTACGTTTACCCATATCTGTTTTAACAGCAAACGCTATGCCTCCAATTGGATCCGAATTGTTCTCAACTTGAGCAGAGATCTTCCTTTGATGCTCTTCTTGAGAGATTAAGGCAAATACTTTATTTATGGATGGCAATGGTTCTTCAAGAAGTAATTGCCCATGAATTTGAGAATAAGACTCATTTAATCCCATAAGGAATGACATCATTTATTCCATTTAGTAATGAGAACTGAGCTCCTTCACTCTACCAGAAGTGCATTGACCACAGGTATATACTGGCCTATAATTGCTTAATTCTTCCCACATGGTTTTCAGTTTTGTAAAATATATGCTAACTGAATTCTGCTCTTGAGTTAACCTCATCAATTTACGTTTGAGTTGAAAGATTCTAGGTTTGTTTTTCTGCTGAAAACGTTCCTTAAGGTCAAGCCATATATCATGTGCCGATTCAACATATATAATGCTGGCAGAAATCTCTTTAGAAACATAATTTAAAATCTACGAAATAACCATATTGTTATTTTGATCCAAGAGCTGAATAGATCTGAGTTATTACCTTCAGGTTTCTCAATTGATCCATCTACAAACCCTAGCTTATTTTTCACTGATAGTGCGATCAGCATCGCTCTGCTCCAGGAGGTGTAATTATCTCCGGTGAGTGACTGAGAAACCAGCATCAGTCTAGGACTATCTGAGTGATGGAGGTAATATGGATTTGAAGGTTCATCCATGGCGGATTTACTTGAAGCATCCATGTTTGCCAAGAGGAATAGGAAATGAAAAACACTCAACGCCTAAATGGAGTGATCGATTGCGGTAGCAGGCCAAGCAATTGCAGCAGCAGATTGAGCAATTTTCTCTGATACCATATTGAAGTTGACAGAAGAAAAGGAAGAGAATTCAGATATATTGATGTGAAGAATGAAAATTACCGAATACAGTATAATGCCAGCAATATAAATACACATGCTAACTAGAAATTTATTACAAGCTTAACTAACTAACTGTGACAGATATACACTAACTAACAGAATTAACAGAGTTAATACAGCATTAATAGAAAATAAAACGGGTTATGATCTAATATAGGGTTACATGTAATATTATTTTATTGAAAAATGTTTGGTTGAAAAGAAGAAAAAAGGGGATCAAACTTTTGAAAAGTTTGATAAAAACTGATAGAATGCGTATTTGAAAAGTTATAAATCTCATAAAATGTATGATTAAAATTTAATTTACTTTTTCACTGAACCAAAAGCAAACTTTCTACAGCATTTGAAGTTTGTGGGGACGTAAAAGATTCGATAATGTTCTTATATTTTCTTAGTTGGAAAATATGCTTGGCAACATGTTTTCTATTTAATTGATATTTATTATTACTTGATTGACTTTCTTATTTTCCAGGCTTTTTATATTTATGCTTCTGTGTATTATATGAAATTCGATTGAACCATATTTACATGGATGACGTGTTAAAAGTTGTGTCTCGATCAAGTTCACGCGTACTTTTGACTTTTTTTGTAAACGAGTTGAACATACAAATACCTCATAATATGATTTTTGAATTTTCCATATTTGTTCTATAGTTTTGAATTCTAAATGTGATGAAATATAATGGAAAGAATATTATAGTACCCAAATTATAATGTCCTAAGAATATTTGTGTTTCAATTTAAGTATTAGGAATTCATATATTAATTGGACTCTCCTTATTGACTTATTAAATATTTCCATGATCTTACTGATTTGTTACTTCTCTTTTAAAAAAGTAATTAGTAAAAAAAGTGTCTATATCATTCAGTGTTATATAATCCGAATCGAATCGGACCATCCGATTTAGTCCTGAAACCGTCGAACCAGACCAAGGTCCGGCCTGATCGCTTATATTTATCAGTGGACAGTAAACCCGTTACAAATCCATTGAACCGTCGGTTTTTTAACAAACTTGCTAGCCTATTTTTCTTTGAACTGACCGGGCCAATGTATGCCCACTTATTTCTCCTCATGACTCAGGGCTGCTCACAATTAACATTACCGATTCATTGAAAATCAAAAACCCTTTTCCCTCTCTGAATTTCCTTACAATTCAACCACTTCCGAAAGTCCAAATCTCCAATTTCAAGTTATAATAG